CTTTCCAAACAATGGATGCAACGAAGTGTTGCTGATCTGTGAAAGTCCATAAAGTGAGTGAAAGTTTAACCCAGATTTGAGCTAATTTACATGTACAATGTACTTGTACATTGTAATATCACTCTGAGGAAGAACAGAAATATGTGCATTTCCGTCCCTTTGTTTATAGGCAAAAGAGGATAAATGGAAGTGCTGTTCTGAATGCTACATGTATGTACAATGTTATAGATGACTTGCAGGGACAGGTCACCACAGGTCACAGCTGGAAGTTGACAACATGGCTGTAATGGTCAGGAGGAAGGTTACAGTAGTACATCTTGAAAGGATTTTCATTCGCACGGGTCTCCTATGTCCTTCTAGTAGAAGAGAGTGAGAAAGATTAGAATGTTTTTGTAAGTGTTCAGACTCAGAGTAAGGTCATGCCATTCAAGGTCCCATGTATTTGACTAATGTTTTCCTAAAAGAGAAGTTATAGAGCCATTTTCTTGTCCACATTTTAGATTTGCCCTACAAAATGATAGAAAATGTCAGAATGATAACTTCATCCAATGTACCTCACCGGCTTAATGTTATGGATATATGATGATGATGACTTAAAGCTAGATTCTTTTTCCACATTTATAAGGTATGATGCCCATAACTACATGGGGTTCAATGGTTTGGAGAGATCTGTCAATCAGAATGGTGAATAAAATCAAAGCAATGGCAGCAATTTCTGATCCAGAAGTTTTTCATAGTCATTACATGTCACATGTTTTAACTCCTGACAGCCGAATCTAACAGTGAGTCACAGATGTAGGAAAAGAAAACATTATGCTATGTTTGGTTGGGGTATCTCACTGGCACCATTCCTTTGGTTTGAATACTGCATGACCTGGATAGGGATATCCGCTTCAAAGAAAAAGTACTGTAATTCAACATTTTTTTCACAGTAGTTTTATGTTCGCAGTTTTCTAGGTCACTTCTATACTGCAAACTTATCATTACCATGAACAAATGATTTGCCAACTTTCTTTCTTCTGTACCTGCTGCCACCGCAAACATATAGTTTGGCGAACATGTCCATTTTTCTCAGACTGTGTGCTTTTGTTATAGTAGGCGCAAACATAAAAGTGAATTACAGTATCCAATTCCTTTTGGTTTGGACACTGCATGACCTGGATAGGGATATCTGCTTCAAAGGAAAAGCAATGCATGATGCATAATTATGGGGTTCTGTATATAGTCGAAAACTCTTGTTCCTTCTACTTTGTTCTGTCTCTCTCTGTGTCTCTCTCTCTCTCTCATCCCCCTTTCTGATTTCCTGATCATTCATTCACTCACTCGCTCATTCATCATTCTGTATGGGATACATGCTGAAATGATTATGCAGATGACTAGTATACATGTATCTAAATATAGTTCTGAAATCTGAATGGAAGGGTAACAGGGTCATAGAAGAGGTCATGCCCTGTATTCCTGGACCAGTAACAGCTGTGAATGTTTAGCTGTATCCTATGTTGTTTGCTGACAAGATGCTGTTGCCATAGTGACCGGAGGAAATGTCTGATTGGGTTTAGCACAGCGTTTCCCTGGGACCATCCTGTGTTCTCTGCGGGTGAAAAGTTCACCTTCCTTATGTTGTATTTGCATGACAAAACATGACGTGATGAAAACCAGAACAGGCTACATGTGTATCACTGTTTACTTTGATACAGTAGTACATTTGCAGGAAAAAAGCCTTAAGTGTGCCTCCACACAGAGCAGCATCTAGCAGAATCTGTTAGTTCAGAATCTCCCTAAATGAGATGGTTTGTTTCTTGAGTGTTTGCAGTGCCGTGACTCAGTGACATTACAACAAAATTAAGTTACAACTTTCCAGTTCATAGCTGGCAAGACCACTGCCTTTGCAGTTAATCAACTGCAAGGCCTAGGGTTTCAGCATTGTAAGATTGGATGTACATGTACTGTGGCACTGGAACAAGGTAGTAATTTAATAAATTAATGCTAGCATTTTCCTCTCCTTTGATCAGATGAAATACATAGTAATGAGGGTCATGGATAAAGGGATTGAAGTTCTGAGGATAGACAGAAGAGAGAGAGAAAGGGGTTTTGTTGTGCTGGGTCTCTGTACTGGCTGTTGTCTGTCGCTACTCCCGACCTATGGCAGAGGACAGGGGGAGGGTGAGAACTTGCAGGTTTTCTGGCTTTTCTCCAGACGACTTCACTGTGGCGAGGCAAGACATTTCATCTTAATGCAGACGGCAAAGTTGTGTAAATTTTAATTGGATGGGTGGACTGTCAAGCAAAATTCGCGGTCTGAGAAAAATGAACACGTTTGCGGAACTATTGCAGGTACAGAAGAAAGAAAGTTGGCAAATAATTTGTTCGTGGTAATGATAAATTCGTGGTACAGAAGTGACCACGCAAAAAAATACGAATATAAAAGTACCGCGAAAAAATAATGAATTGCAGTAAATTGAACTAACACATACATGTAATGAACAGACACCAGTTTTTGTGGGTTAGGATCAAAAAAGACTTGTGACTTTGACTATTTTTTTAGTTTCTGAACTGGGTAAAAATGTAGAGCATCCAGAAAGTAGTTGATTTGAATAGGAAAGAAACTGGTTCTTGCCCCAACTCCTAGGGAGGAGGGGGCTAATTGATGATGATGAAAGATGTAAATGTAAAGGGACATGTATGTATGATAAGGGCTCATTCTTCCATTCTGATGAAATCCCTCAAAGCCCCTGTCATACATTCTTGAATGTGGGCTCCCAAACACCAGCTGAACGTACCCAGACCCCACCATGCCATAGTTAGGAGTAGGTACTAGGTGCAAAGTCGGCTGGTGTTCGGCGAATTCACCCACTATTCAGCTTCACCAGCCGAATGTTTCAAAATGTTTCAAATGTTCGGGGGTTTGTCCGCAGTTGGCTGATATTTGACTATAAGACAGCAGTGTTCAGGGTCAAATTTGATTCAAATTTAACTCAAATTCATTTTGAGTCATGTAGAAAGTAAGGTGTGGCTTAAATCTGGTCAGAGTGATCCCGAATGTTAGCCGAATCTGGTCGGCTGGTTTTTGGGAACAAATTCGGGAGAAGGTCATTGATGTGTGTCAGGGGCTTTTAGCTTCTGTCTTGAGTTCTGACACATCTTTTAGTCCAATGTGACTGACATTTTGGACAACCGTAACCAATCTTTGTACACTGTGTACTGCACATGTTTCACCTGAGGATCAGTACAGGTCACAGGTGACAGGGCTGCCAGAAACGTCAGCACAATACATGTGGGCATCTTATTCCTTGTTGACGCAGCCTTTTGTTCAGCACAGAATCTCTTGCTGTTTTGAAAAGCGTCCGGAATAAAGACTGCCTAAAGGGGTCAACATGCTGGGTCAAGGGTCATAACCTTGATCAGAGGATTAAGAGACAATTAAGAGATACACAGTGGAAGAATGGCAAAGTAGTTACTCAGGGGTGGCAAATAAACAGTAAGGGAAAGGACCAGGTGTTGGTTTTAGGAAGTCCTTTGAATTTGAGCTTTGTGTGAATAAAAAAAATAAACTTGACTTTGAAAAAAGTAATCTTGTTACACTTCAGAGACTTTCACTAATACTGGAAGTGTTTAAAGATGTTGTAAGTTAGCGAATGTACCCAAAAAATTTTGTTGTTGGATTCAGGAATATCAGCCAGCAGATTGTCAGCATTAGGAACATAAGACTTGTTTAGTTGTTATGACCAGCTTGTACATTTGTAAAGGTTGCGGTACTATTACATGATGTATTGGTCTGGAGCAAATGTCAGTTGAACTTGTGCTGGCAAGATAAGTGCTGTGAAACAATATGGGTGGCTTTGGTCTTCTTGAAAGGGGTGAAGGAGGGTAAAAAAATATTTCTCTCACTTTCTGACAACAGAAATGAAAAACTTTCATCTGGAGATCATGTTTGTAAGAGAAACAACGTTAACATTCTGCTGTTACTTTTCAGGTTGAGCAGTTTGTGTATAGTACTCACAAAAATCAGTTCCTTCTTACAGACCAAATTTTGTAAACAAGAAAAAAGAGAAAAACTTTAAAACATTATTACCAGTAAAATCGGTTCCTGGTCCAGTATCTGTAAGTGGCAGTAAACTATAGCTATACATTCATAGCCTTTTTAGGCCACAACAATTTGGTTTGTTGGTTTGTTTTTTCAGAAAAAATATGAAGGCGACAGGGCAGAACAAAAAACAGGCCTAGGCATCTTCTGATAGCCCCAAAAGATACGAGGTTTCTTTAAACTACATGTGTTAACTATTGGGGACAAAAATCAGAAAAAAAATGAAGTGGGGGTGAACAAATTGATTTAATTGATTAAATTGGTGTGGACGTATGTACAGTAACACACATGTATTTATGATGTACTTGTTTTTGCTCCAGGTTTGGCGCAAGACAGCCTGTCTACATCAACATGATTCGAGACCCTTTCGACCGACTGGTGTCTTCTTACTACTTCAAGAGATATGGTGATGGGAGGTCGGATGACAGAGGTGGACACCTGAAGGAGGAGGACAAATTACGAGTGAGTCTGTGACTCTTAATTATGTTACAAAACCAACTATGGAAGCTCAGACACCTATTTTATCAAGAAAGAATATACATGCACGATAGAATGTACTTACCGGTACATGTATGTGGATTTAGCATAATGTTCTATATTTGCTGTTAAATAATCGCAATGGTTTCTGAATCAGTATGACCTATACTTTTCAAAGTCTAATTATACAGTGGTACAGGTAAAATTTGTCTGGTGCAGGTAATTTCAATGCTACCTGATCTAGTACAGGTATGCAGAAAAAATAATTTTGAGCCCTGCTTAGGTAGGGAAGAATGGAGGTCCTACAATGAGACTCTCTAGTTTCTCATTAGTCAAAAGCCTTTCTCTATTGACAGCATGCTTTTCCCTAAGTAAACTTTGCTAAATATTTTGGAAACATTTTCTTCAGATACCCAACTATGAAAACAAACAATGTAAAAAGGTAGCTTGATCTGTCTTTAGTCTGGCCGTGACACTGGCCTTGGAAGTGCGGCCTCCCCTCTGGACTGCGTGATGTTGTGCCTGTGGGGAATGAAAGCCGTTGAAAGATCAGAGACAGGAGAATCCTCCTTTGGAGTTGGTGTCACGCTCAGGGTATCTGTTTTGAGCTCTGTCTCATTCCTTCAATGTCATCTTCAAGGACTGGTCAACTGGTGCTATAAAATCGCTAAACATCAGAATCATTTCAGAACTAGAGAACAATCTCATACTTTCGCCAAATGATGTTAACCTACAGATGAAGCCTACAGACTTAGCCTGAAATCCAGCCATGTTATGATAGCTAAAGATCTGCCCACAAAAAATTTTAGGAGCGGACAGCTGACAAGGCTGGGTTTCAGGCTAGCCTACAGTGAAATGTCCCACCAGGCTCCAGTGCAATATGCAAGAAACACATTCCAGAGCTGAGACTATAACTATTACACTTCAGCCCCCCTCCCCACACACCCCAAAACTGTCTGGGTTCTTGGTGTGATGCAAATTTCTTTCTTTGGATTTCTTTTAAATTAATACTTCAGAGTTCTAGGCAGCCTGAAATATTTTGTCATCTCAATTCTATTTTGCGTAATATCGTGTTGAGCGCCGTGGAAAATGTTGAAATCTTGATCCTCTGATTCAGAAGCACTATTTCATGCATTTTGAAGGGAAAATTTTGCTGGTAAATTTACAACCTGATTTTTGTCCATCAAAGATGACGTACTGGGCAAAATTTTTGTCCATCATGAGAAGCAAAATTCTTTAATGATGGAAAGACGGAAGCTGGCTACAAAACTGCTGTACATGTACACAACATGTTTGGACTACAGTATTCCCGCTTATCTGCCCTTGTACACATGTATGCTGTTCCCTAGCATGCTAATCACAGATAATGAGTGAACTTTGTGACTATGGGAACTCTCCCTAGAATCAGGAGGTTGTGGGTTCAAGTCCCACAGTGATGTTGCCTTGGACCGAGGCCAGGCTAGGAGAGAACTCAGGGCCTTCCCAACAATTGGGCACAATATTGGAAAGATCTTGATGTCTACTCAGATAAGGAGAAAAACCTGGAGGGCTTCTGAATTCCTAGTCTGTATTCTTTTTATCCAGGAGGCCATGTTGATTTGATTATATGGATGACATCCCGTTGGAACCCCAAAACTGATGTGAGCGTGCAATTAAAAAAAAAAATTGGCCAAAAATTTGGCTTCATTAGAGTCAATTCCGCGTCACCGAGTGGGTTGTTATTGTCATTATTTAGAAATGTTTTGAATTCTTTGTAATTGTTTGTCTAAGAAATTTCATAATTTGGAAATATTTTGAACATCTTGTCAATATTCTAAATAATTCCCTGGTTTTCTAAAAGGTTTGAAATATTCCTGATGTGGATTATGACATTTCCAATAGTTTCTAAATATTTCTAACAGCACTCTACCATTTTTTACCATTATTTCGAATTATTTCTAACATTTTGTAAATAGGTCAGTGGGATGGGAAGGAAGTAATTCACACATCCCTGTGGAGTACAGGGTAGACTGCCTGGGTGTCAGGCATTGATGCCTTACAACAAAAGAGCCACCAGTGTCCAGCAGTGAAATCTAAAAATATACAGAAGAAGACAGAAGAGTCGGATTAGCACCTACTTTTATGGGGGCAATTACCCACATCTACCATTTGGTTATTTGTTTGAAATAGTTCTAAATATTTCGAATTGTGAAAGAAACACATGGGTAGTTCAAATTTATTCTAAAGAAAGAGATCTTTGTACAGTCACATTCAAAATGTTTCAGAAATATATAAATGAATTCAAATATATTCAAATTTTCATTTTCAAATTTTTGAAAAATTTAGAACTTTTGTTACTGGGGTATTCTTTTCTTCTAAATAATTCAAACGTATTAGAAACATGGAGAAAAAACCCACTCGGTGACGCGGAATGGACTCTATGATAAAATGCAATATGCCTCATATCTCCTGTTTCCTTGCAAATTTCTTTTTGTAATTGTTGGCACAGCTGCTCACGTGAACTTCCAGACTTATTTTGGAGCTGATTATTCAAGTCTTACTATTTTGACTCTTCTATATCAGATAACAGTCTGAACGTGGCAGACACCGGTTCTATTTTGTCTACCAACCTTCCTGGTATACTTTAATGATTCCCATATCTTAAGCCCATCACACATTCACGACCTTCCCCCAAGCAGTCTGACCGACTTTAGGCCACACCTACCTTTCTATTTATTTATTTATATTTATTTATTCATTTAGCACATACATGATAAAAGTTTTACAAAATACATGTATACAACAATGGAAGTAAATGTGCAGGGGGTGGAGAATCAAAGCCGACGTAACATCATCATCATTGATGGAATTGAAGGTGACAACAACAGTCTGAGATATATTCACAAAGTACTTAAAGATCGAAACCAAGGATATCGCGGCTGTCGGGCGATCCGACCCGCGGTTGGGCCGATACCTCGGGCGATACGGAATACCCGGTGTTGTATTCTATATATATACATGTATGTCCTTGCTCCAACTGAGATTTATGGTGCATGTCACCTGGACTGTGTTTTTCTTCTTTGGTATACTGAAGTTCATTCGTCTGGCACGTTTCAGTGACAGAGGGTCAGCAACACATGGGAAGACAAGGTCATTTTTTTTAAAACATGATATGTAATGTAACTTGTCAGGCTGACTTCTGTGGACTCAATACTGTACATACAATAGCCTGGGTGCCAGACCTCGTGGGACGTGATATTCCCTTTGCCCAGGCCTGATCCCAGAGTTGGAGCTGGGGGTCTTATTTTAATCTCTTGCGCCTGGCGGGATATAGCCTGGGTACCATCCTACTTGTATGCCGGGGCTCCCACACTCGCTAATCCCTAACAAGTACTACTTATAGGGAAGTGAGTGTGGGAGCCTCGGCATACAAGTAGGATGGTACCCAGGCTAGGCGGGATAGATAATATTAGAGAAAGGGTGTAAACTCAGCTCAGGGGGGAGTGGGACATGTTGGGAGAGAGCTACATGTAGCCTGGGTACCAGACTACTAGTATTTGCAGAGATGATAAAGACTTGGGAGCCAAACTACATGTACAGTAGGTCTTGTACCCAGGCTAGGAGAGAACTCATCATTGGCATGGGAACAGTGAATTTTCTTTCCGGAGTGCCGGAGTCTGGTACATGTATATAACAGCTATCTATAAACATGATTGACATACTATGGCAATTAGAATTATGTTATCATCATGTAAAGCTAGTTACATATTCTGATAGTAGGGAACTAACACAGAAATATCTTATCTAAAAGCCTCACAAAATTCTGTCTATTTTTTTTTTATTGTCACTGGTTCATCCTTTCACATTAGGCCATGTTGATTTGATTGTGTTGTACATGTATATGTATGACATCCGTGAATTTTTGCCTGTTTTCAAAAAAAGTTTTCGACCATACTGTAAATTTGTACAAAGCAGCTGCAAAATGAGCAAATATATGCAGAAAGATGCAAAAAATTGGAAAGTGATGTAAAGAAGAAAAGGAAAAGATGTAAAGAAATGAAAATGAAGAGACTGGGTGTATTTTATTCGCCATACTATAGTCTGTGTGTTTAGTCACATGTTCAACCTTCATGACCACGTAGATTTCATAATGGAGGCAGCTTTTTTGGCCAACCCTTTTTCCTTTGCATTCATATGCTGGCGTCTTATAATATTTGAATAAAAATGTCCATATAATGTTACATATTGGCCTTTTCAGAGTGTATCTGTTCAGACTGAGTGATAGCTCAGGTGTGCCCTGCTCTGACCTGTAAGATGCACTGACCTGAAAATCTTTACTGATCCTTCATGACCTGAAGCTTGTTATGTGATTTACTGGTAGTCCCATTGAAATGCATTGTTGTGGAAAGTGGGATGACAGTTGCCTTGGGGGAATCTTGTGACATTTGAACTGCAGTAAACCCAAATTATAGAACAGGAATGTCAGATCTGAGAAGATCTCTGTTTTTTTATGGTTTAACACACAGCTATGGACTGGCGAGGTGAGGTGCTACACATATGAGGGTCTGCATGCTCTTTTCCGTAAGGCGTAGGCGGGCCTTTTTAATTTCCCGTAATTCGTAGGGAAGTTATTTTATTTACCGTAATTCGTAGTGAGGAGGCAAAATTTTCCCGTAAAGCGTAGCCAGCGCATTTCACGTAAAGCGTAATCGAGTCTAAAAATTCGTTGTAAATCGTAGTCTGGACTCCCATTTTTCGTAAGCCGTAGCGGACGAACCAGCAACCAGCGGATGACCTGTTTGGTCAACGTCGTACCCAGGATTTCTATTGTCTAACCTGGACACGAGAGCACCCATGACATCAGTGGAATTCTGTGCTATTATTGGTCAGTATTGGCCGGGTGGCGGGAGCACATCTGGAGTCAATTTTAGTCGCATCTTCATCTCTGCTTCATCTTGTCTGTCCCTTTCTTGCCTGTCTCATCTGGGTCCATGTGTGCGGTACAA